ATGTGTATTACATGATACTAAAATGTGCAGAATAAAAATTTAAACTCAATTTTGCACTAGGTGAAACTGAAATGTGCGGAATAAGATCATGTTCTTATTTGAACCAAAACCTATATATATATATATATATATGTGTGTGTGTGTGTGTGTGTGTGTTTGTGTTTAGTCTTTGCATTTTTATTTTTTATTCATCATGACACCCCCTACCCCATTTTCCTTTTAAGGAATAATCATAATTTCGTGCTTCATCCGTTTTTTATCATTTCTAATAATTACTGGTCAACGAGGTAATTTCATTTTTTAATAATCGTGCGAAAAGGCGTGACACTGGCGGGCCGTCTTTTAGGAGGTGCAACCGTGCAAAACGTGCTTGGCACCATGACCCACTTTTATAGGGGCTCCAAACAAATTAGTATGTAATAGTAGTTGTAGGTTAATTTTTCTACATTCCAAATGGTGTATAACTTTTAATTGTCTAATTTGTGTACTTTCAACATTATAACACTTATCTTTCAATGAACTATCAAGTCTATTTGTATTTCATTGTTAAATTTTATATTCTTTCTTGTTTTAGGGGGCCTCAATTCACCATTTGGAACCGGGCCCTTCAAGTTCATTATATGTCCACAAAAATTTAGCTTAAAGTTAAATCGAGAATTCAGTTAAATAAATTATTGAAAAACACTGCGCATGCACTTCAGCAAAATTCTAAGCTAAAATTTTATTGACATAATATACATCACGCCTGACTAAATCATTTCTTATAGTATAGTTATATTATATAGTATTACAATAGTAATAATACTACGTAATAATTAAAACCAAATAGATAGGGCCTCAATTTTGCATTTGGAACCGGTGCAGTTGTGGCATGAGAGAAATAAACACACATACATGTTTGTGGTAAGTTTTTCTCCACAATGTCAATTTTTTTGTAAGTGTAGACATTATGGTTGACATTATTACAAAATTATATAAAACCGTGAAAAGAGGGGAATGTCAATGCTTTATTTTTATGTTTCTATCTCTCATGCCACACCTACACGTACACATTGTGGCATTGGAGATGCTCTAATCTAAATAGTTTAATCTGTAACCTTAATAACCATGCCAGCTAAAAGAGAAGAAAACCTTTTTTTGATGGAGTACAATAGCAAACATACATACCTTAAGTTTGTCCCTGTCCATTTTAGGATCATCCATGCCAGGTTGCTCATAGATATCTACGCAGTCATAAGTATCTCCGGAGATAGTCTGTAATCAAAATGTGGACTTTGTTACGTAGTATATATATGAGTTCATTTATAGAAATGGATAGATGAAAAATGATTATTTTCCTTTTTATCACAAAAATGGATAGATGAGTTCATTTATAGAACACATTGTGGCAAAATCATAAATATAAAAGATTGACTGTTATCATATACAGCTATATGCGTTGTTTGCTCATATGAGTGCACTTTCTGTATGTACTAAGTTAAGTTGTTATCATAAATTTGCATTCATGTCCACAGTTATGTTATAAATATTGATGCACGTTTGTAATGTTCAAATACACATTTTAAGTACAATGATACATTTTTTATGGATCTTAATTAATAAAAAGATTTACATATTTGCAGGAATGTCATTCCTTTGCCGTATAATTTATTGCACCAGCTAATTACAACAGTTTGGATGGCGTACATTGATAATGCATTGCTATAAGCTTCTATAAGTTGCGGGTTTGATTCTAAGCTTCGGTATTTTAAGCTACTCTCTTTGTATTGCATTGGTTTAGCTTTCTCTGTTGCCTTTGTATTTTTTAGCTTCCTTTACTTGGACTCCTTTGGCTTGTACTTTTTTTAGCTTCCTCCTTTGTGTTGTACGAAGTACGTATTTTTTTAGGCTTGTTTTGTTTTGAAATTGTACAGAGATTTTTCCTAAAATATTATTAAAATAATATTTGTGGACAGATCCTGATTAAAGTGACTAGTATATTCGTACAATCAATGTCACTACAAAACAATTTTTGAATTGACACATATTTGGCACTGATTGATCAACTATTTCTATCAAATAGCTCGTGCCAAAATATTTTTGGGATGAATTTGGCATATCCCTTCCAAATTCATGTGTAGTAGAATTTGAAAATAATTAAAGTCAGTATAAGAGTTACTGTCACATTTTCATCTATTATCCTTATTTGAGTCATTTAAGTATTATTGCATTTTTTATAATCTTATTTTGTTTTGCACTAAAAAGTTCTTCAATTAAATAATGTTTCAATTGACAACAACGTATGACTCTGTTTTAATTTTCTTCTTTTGTATTGCCTCAAAACATGACATTGCTTAAATCACACGCTTATTTCTATATTTTTTATTTTATGTTCTTACTTATCCAAAACAAAATATTTATCATTTCATATTAATTTAATCAAATATTGATATGCGATTTTCTGTGTTCTTTTTATTTGGTACATACAATGATGTAAAAATTACATGTATACCATAAATTTTAATTATTTCAAAATAAAAACAATCAAATAGTGAGTTTATAATCATTTCTTCCTTCCCCAAATATTGACCTATATCATTTAATATGTAAACTATCAAGATTATTTCTAAAATAAATTTAATTATTTAGAAATTTTAGTGCATAAAATTTTAATAGTTCACGCGTGCATTAAAATATGATTTATCTTCTATAAGTTTATTGTGCGTCATGCACCAATTGTTGTGTGTGTTATATCCTAACTATGATTAAGTTGACGATCATCAAATATTAGTAATATTTAATGCATCATAGTACTTTATAATTAAATGTGCATTAAATATTAGTGGTTGTGTGTACGTTAGAATGATCACACTTTAGTACATAAATAAATAAATAAAATCATCATTACAAAGAGTGCATCACTCTGAACAAAAGTGCAACATAATAAAATTATAATAATTTAAAAAATAATAGAAATTGGAATTTCACATGACAAACAAAGAAGAGGGGTTGGCATCACCCTCTTTAAAGAAGATAAACAAAATCGGACTCTTTTTTTTTTGAGGAAAAATTGGACTTATGTAACAATACCTTGAGAGTAGTGATGATTGAACTCCTGCGATATCCCCTGTTTCTTTCGAGGTTATGACTATGTGTTCTCCTTTTTCCATGTGTAACGTTGATGCAAAGACAAATAATAAGAGTAAAAATAAGTATATTGATTCTCAAAGCCATGATATCAAGTTACTTGATATTTCTGTCTTTATAGCTGGCGATATTTATAGAGGCTAGCAATTTCAAGGTGAGACAAAAGATAGAAACTAATAAATCTTTTAATGAAAGGATATGGATAATCAGTACGTGGAGCTGAATATATTTTTAAAACAATGTATCTACTTCAAAAATCTTATATGTATAAAGTTTTCAGTTTTATATTTAGAGAAATTTATTTATTATTACTCGCACCGTAATTAAATTATTTCCAAATTAGGTCCCAGAGTGTATTCATTTCGCACAGAGAATGTTATAGCACTTTGTAATTTGTAAGTTATCATCACTTTAGATCTTATCCACAAAAATTAAGTTGTTTGTTGTGAAGTCCGGGCATACCTTGGTAACACGTCATTTTGATACAAATGAAATGAAAAATAATGCTCTGTACTATGTATTTTGTAATAGATACTTTGAATTATTTATAGAATCAATCAAGTTGAATATACTAAATATTTATTATGAACTAACCACAACCAATTATAATTTCATATTTGTGAAATGATTATTAAATTATTCATCATCATATATTTTTATTTACACTTTAGTCATTTCAAGGTTTTAAATTGCGACCGCGGTTGCCGTTGCGGCTGTTGCGATGAGAATTATTTTTGGTTCAAACAAAATAAGAAAAAAGATAAATTAGTGTTGCGGTTCCTGTGCGTCCCAATGAGGTCCGATGCAGCCCGATACTGCCCTATTGCGGTTACGTTGTGGCTTTTTCCTGTGAATTAAAATCTCACCGCAATTGCGGTCTGATGCAGTTGCGCTGCAGACCACAACCGCAAAACTGCAGCAGCAACACATGTTGTGGTCCATAATTTAAAACTATAGTAAATATTTCTTTTCCACCAGATTTTGTGTGCCTAAAAAATACGGAGCATGAACGCAGTATGAAAACTTTGTTAAATTGATACTGCCTTTTTATTTTTCACTTTGTTCTTTATCTATCATATACTTCTTTTGGATACATTTTACATTTTCTTACTATTTGCATGTTTAAAATATAAAATAACCGCTTGCAAAAAAATATAAAATAACCACTTTATCTTGTTTTTAAACATGCACCAAATCAAACTTCATCTTAATTACAATGGAAGTGAACTGAATATGTGTTCCTGGGAAGTTGACATTCATTTTAAACATTCTTTAAGTTTTGGGAAAATCGCATATTTGATCCCTCAGTTATCCCCCGAATTGAAATCTCAGACCCGTATTTCTGAGATTTCAAATTACACCCCCAAGTTGGCCCACTTACATTGAATGACGTCCCGCTGTTAGAAGTCCAACTAACAACATCTGGTCCTCCAATTTATCAGGGGTAAATGTGTAACTTCCCTTCCTTAAAGGTTTAAATCCCTAATCTAACTACAAACCTTCAGATAAAGTACATTCGTCCGCACCAAAACTTCTCATTTTCTTCATTCGTCTAGACGTGAGATTTTTCCAGGAGCTCCTCCATTGTCAAACGATTTAGGGTAGCTTAGGTTGAGGTTCGTACTAATTATGTACATGGTATTATTCTTCACTTCTCCTTGTGTGTCTTTGTGGTTTCTTTGCTTCTTACTTCAACAAGAGATATAGGGTTTGCAAATTACAAAATAAGATAATATATGTATGTTTTGGATGAATTGACTAGGCATGAATAGAACTTGATTCATTTTGTAGGAGCAAAAATGTTGACAAATTACCGAACGAATTGACTAGGCGCCATGTCCAACGAAAGGTTTGTTTTCAGAGAAGTATTTGAGGTTTAAGCAAAGCATTTGAATTTGGGAGTTCAGGAGGGGGACGGTCCACCAGTACCGTAGCTTCTTCCTCTCCTTGCCTCTTATTCATCCTATTATGTACCAAGCCTCCTCTGTCGTCTAACACGGATGATCTTGAATCCAGATCTCTCCCAGCTCCTAGCCCTATGCTTTGTCCATGACTTTCTGATCTCAACCTTCTGATAACGATGATGATGATGATAAAGCATGTTTGAACTTTTCTGATCTGATTTGAATGTTTCTGCTTTGATCTGAATGTTTCTAGTATGATCCGATATACCTAAATCTTTCTGATCCGATCTGAATCTTACTGATATGATCTGAATTTTTCTTATCTGATCTAAATTTTTCTTATCTGCCCTGATATGATCTGACTTTTTTATTTGATCTATTCTGATTTGAATACAATAAGAATAAACAATAATTAACAAGAATAACACGATTTTTAACAAAAATAAGAATAAAAAGAACAAAATAACAACTAACCTACGTTGAAATTGGACCGGGATTTGGCCCATTTTAACAGCTCTCGTGATTATCATAGATTGCGAAAGACGTGAACATGAGAAAGACACTGCCCTACACATGACTGGCTGGCTGCAGGTAACAAACATCTTCCATAATCCCATCCCTCTTAGAGATTTGTGCATATAAAATAAACACGGGAAAATAGAAACAGCTCAAGAACAGAATGCGCATTATGTTCTCTGATATATAAAGCTTTCATAATCACCCCATCCTTATAAGCTTTAGACAATCCTTGCGGATTTTAAATTGTGAAACACTCGAAGACGCTGTGGACTTGGAGTGGTGGCAGCCATATTTTATTTTATACTTCCCGTCAAAGACATGGCTCGTTCCCCTGGCCATCTTTCATCCGGGGTAAGTTTTAGGGTTAGTTAATTCGAATTTTAGCTTTTCCATTAATTGAACTTCATGCTTGGAATTATGGCAGATCCAGGAGCCTCACATTACTGGGCCAAAGTCTAAAAACATTATACTAATTTCCAATTTATACTTGGGGACCATTGTTTATATTTCAATTACTGGGCCAAAGTCTAAAAAATTTATACTAATTTCCAATTTATACGTGGGGACCATTGTTTATATGTCTTAATACATATAGCACTTTGTTACATCCTCCTCAGGTGTTATGTTAGACATGCAGCAAGGCAGCCGGTGGAATTTTATAATAAAGTGTATAAAAGAAGAGCTAATAGGGATGCTGCTAATAACTAATAACTAATAACTAATAACTAACGGGTTAGTTAGTTAGTTATTGTCCCTGCGTGGACATTACTATAAATAGAAGAGCTCAGCTAGCTGAAGGTAGTTTTAGACTCTTGGCTAGAACAGGACTGGGAGATTAGGCATCTCGAATTGTCTACAGCTTGTATACTTTGATCTGGTGAATAAAGTGTGTGTACTGTGTGTTGTTTCTTGAGAATTCTGTATTCGATATTGCATGATCTATCATTGGTATCAGAGCATTACGCTCCTGGCGATTACAGAAGTGCGAAGATCCAGAAATTTTGTTCGTTCGAAGTTGGATGGTTAAAACGAGAGGAAAAATGAATCGTCGTTTGGATTCGATGGAACAAAAACAACAGGAGACGCAATCTGCATTGGAAGTTCTCGCAGCTAAGATTGATGCGATGGCGGCACAGTTTCAGAACCGAGGAAGGTCGCGAACACCTCAAACTCATCATACGAGGAATTCGCGCAGTCCGATACACTCCAGAGGTAATTCGGTTAACTCTCCTGTCCATAATGCTCGACGTAACAATGAGTATATGAGAGCACAGATTACGAAGGTAGATTTACCTTTATTCAATGGCGAAGGAGCCTATAATTGGATCATACGCATGGAGAGATATTTTCGTTTAAATCACATTGCGGAAGAAGAAAAAGTTGAAGCATCTATGATCGCGATGGAGGATAGAGCACTTAATTGGTTCCATTTGTGGGAGAATCAAACTGAGGAAACAAGTTGGGATGCTTTGAAGAAATCTGTCATTCGCAGATTTCAACCAGAACTGATTCAGAATCCGTATGGACCAATGCTAAGTGTGGATCGTTGCGCTTACCGCTACACCAAAAGCAATTGCTGATAGTGAAGCACGCTCCTCCCCCTTTATAGCACAAGCGAAGCGCCACGTGGTCCGATTGCACCGGCAGGCTGGCTGTTGCTGGCACCGCATACCCGCGGCCCAACAATCTCCCCCCCAGCACCTGCCAGCCTACAACTGCGCAGCATGCTGTTGCCGGGGGTCGAACCCGTGACCTTGGCTCTGATACCACTTGTGGATCGTTGCGCTTACCGCTACACCAAAAGCAATTGCTGATAGTGAAGCACGCTCCTCCCCCTTTATAGCACAAGCGAAGCGCCACGTGGTCCGATTGCACCGGCAGGCTGGCTGTTGCTGGCACCGCATACCCGCGGCCCAACACTAAGTTTGAGACAAACTGGAAATGTGCAAGACTATCGAGAAGAGTTCGAAATGGTGATAGCTCCACAATTGCATATGGATGGGGAATTGCTGCGAGGGGTATTCATGTCAGGTTTGAAGGATGAGATAAAATCTGAGCTGAAGATGTATGCATCCAGGTCTTTAACTGAGATCATGGATAGAGCTGTACTTATTGAACAGAAGATTGAAACACAGTTTGGGAAAAAGAAGGAAGAGGACGAAATGCCAGTAAGGGAAAGAGGTTCTGTACCAGTTAAGGGACAGAGTTGGGGAGATAATTCCAGAGTGAAATCTGGTTACAATTGGCCATCTCAGAGTAAAATTGTAGCTGAGAATAAGTATAATAATACTGGAATGGACAAGATTGGTAAGAAGACTATTGATTCTTACCCAACTGGAATTAAAAGAACAGGACCCCTGTTATCTCAAGAGGAATTTCAGGAAAGAAGTAGAAAGGGGCTATGTTTTAAATGTGGTGAAAAGTGGAGTAAAGAACATACTTGTAAATTGAAAAATTTCAAGTTAATGTTGATTGAAGAATCAGTGGAGGAAGAACAGTCAGAACAAATTGAAGTCACCATACCAGAAAATGTCTGTAATGAAGTAATGGAATCTAAGTCTATGCAGTTATCCTTGATGAGCAAAGAAGGGATTCCTACCATGAGGGCTTTCAAAGTGCAGGGGATTCTGATGGGAGAATCAAGAGATCAACATGTGAATGTGTTGATTGACAGTGGGGCTACCCACAACTTTATTTCACAGCAGTTGGTTGAGCAATGGAAACTGCCCTTTCAGACTGTTTCTGATTACAAAGTGCAGATTGGCAATGGGGATCATATATCCAATAATAAGAAGTGTCCTCAGTTGAGATTGAACCTACAAGGAGCTGAGATAATACAGGATTTTTATATCCTAAATTTAGGGGGCACTGATTTGGTATTGGGTATGGATTGGTTGACAAGTTTGGGAGATGTGGAGATAAACTTTCAGAAACAGAAAATTAAATGGAAGCAGTGGGAGCAGGAGGTGTGCATTCAAGGAGATCCCAAGCTGAATTCAATGGAAGTGTCATTGAAAACATTTTCACAAATGTTATGTGATAATGGAGATGGTTACTTCTTATATTGTGAAGGGAAGAACATAGAAATGGAGCAAGAAGGAGGACCGGAAACCATTTGGAAGCAGATTTTGGAAGAATTTCCAGAAATTACAAAACCTAGAGAGGGTTTACCTCCCAGAAGAAACTGTGATCACTCTATAACTATTCAGGAAGGAGCAAAGATACCTAATATCAGACCTTATAGGTACCCACAGTACCAGAAGACTGAAATAGAGAAGATTGTGAAAGAGATGCTTGATTCTGGGATCATCCAGAATAGCAATAGTCCTTACAGCAGTCCCATACTCTTAGCCAAGAAGAAGGATGGTGGCTGGAGGTTCTGTGGAGATTACAGAGCCCTTAACAAAATCACAGTTCCTGACAAATATCCAATTCCAGTAATTGAAGAACTACTTGATGAACTTGGGGAGGCTACCATATTTTCTAAGTTGGATCTCAAATCTAGCTACCATCAGATCAGGATGAAAGAAGAAGATAGGATGAAGACAACTTTCAGGACACATGAGGGCCATTATGAATATTTGGTGATGCCCTTTGGTCTAACTAATGCTCCCTCTACCTTCCAAGCTTTGATGAACCAGGTACTAAGGCCTTATTTGAGGAAGTGTGCCTTAGTCTTTTTTGATGATATCTTGGTATACAGTAGAACTAAGGAGGACCACATAGAGCATTTGAGAGCAGTCCTATCTGCTTTGAGGGATAATCAGTTGGTGATTAACCCAAGGAAATGCTCTTTTGGACAACCTCAATTAGTCTATTTGGGGCATATTATTTCTGGAGTAGGAATAACAGCAGACCCTACCAAGATTGAAGCCATGGTTACTTGGCCAAAACCTCAGAATTTAAAAGAGTTGAGGGTTTTTGGGGTTAACTGGCTATTACAGAAAATTTGTAAAGGGGTACAGTAAGATTGCAGCACCCCTTACACAACTCCTAAAGAAAGACAGTTTTCAGTGGGGAGAACAAGTTACACAATCTTTTGAGGAGTTAAAAAGAACCATGACTTCACTCCCAGTCCTAGCTACACCTAACTTCAATAAGACATTCATTCTGGAGACTGATGCTTCTGGAACTGGTTTAGGTGCAGTTCTCATGCAAGAAGGCAGACCTGTGGCTTTTATGAGCAAGATATTATCTAAAAGAAACCAAAACAGATCAGTCTATGAAAGAGAGCTCTTGGCTATTGTGTTAGCAGTACAGAAGTGGAGACCCTATTTGTTGGGAAGAACTTTTGAGATTGTAACTGACCAAAAGAGTGAAGTTTCTGACAGAGCAAAGATTGATGGGTGAAGAACAACAGAAGTGGACTTCTAAATTGTTGGGGTACAATTTCATCATCAGATATAGACCTGGGATAGAAAATAGAGCTGCTGATGCTCTGTCTAGAAGACCTATGCTCCAGTCTCTTTCAATTGTGACATGTCAAGAATGGGATGGGTTGGAAGAAGAATTGAAGGCTGACATCAAGTGTGCAGAGTTGATTCAGAAGGTGATTTCTTATCCAGATCAATATTCATAATTTCAGATCATTAAAGGTTTGTTATATTATAACAAGAGACTAGTTCTACCTCAAGGATCACCCAGAATCACAAAGATCATGAGGGAATATCATGAAACTGCCATGGGAGGACATTCAGGATATTTTAGAACCATGAAGAGAGTATCAAGTCTTTTCTTTTGACAAGGTATGAGGAAGGATATAAAGAAGTGGGTGGAGGAATGTGTGGTTTGTCAGACTAATAAATATCAAGCTTTGAAGCCTGCAGGACTACTACAACCACTTCCTATTCCAAATAGCATTTGGACTGACATTAGCATGGATTTCATTGGAGGATTACCCAAATCACAAGGAAAGGATACTATACTTGTAATTGTGGACAGATTAACTAAATATGCTCACTTTATTGCTTTATCACATCCCTACAATGCTAAGGAGGTAGCTGATGTGTTCATTAAAGAAGTGGTCAGATTACATGGGTTTCCTAAAACTATAATCAGTGACAGAGATAGTGTTTTCCTCAGTGTTTTTTGGTCTGAACTATTCAAACTAGCGGGGACACAATTGAAGTACAGTACAGCTTACCATCCTCAGACTGATGGTCAGACTGAGGTGGTTAACAGATGCTTGGAAACTTATCTCAGGTGTTTAACAGGAAGAAAACCAAAAAAATGGCTTAACTGGTTACATTGGGCTGAGTATTGGTACAATACCAACTATCATGCTGCACTGAAAAGCACTCCTTACAAGGCTCTATTTGGACAGGACCCTCCTGCAGTAATAAGAGGAGATGTTACAGTTACTGCAATAGAAGAAGTTTCAAAGCTGACTGCTCAGAGGAATATGATATTAGATGAGTTGAAAGAGAGTTTGGCCAAAGCTCAGAATCAGATGAGGCAGCAGGCCAATAAGCACAGGAGAGAGGTTACATTGGAGATAGGGGATCAGGTTTATCTGAAAATTCAACCTTATAAGCTGAGGAGTTTAGCTAAGAGGGTGAACCAAAAATTAAGCCCAAGATTTTATGGTCCATTTCAGATAATTGAAAAACTCAGTTCTGTGGCTTTTAAGCTGAAGTTGCCAGAAGATAGCAAAATTCATCCTGTGTTTCATATATCTTTGTTAAAAAAGGCTATCTCATCTACTACCTACTTTCAACCTCTACCCAAGTGTCTGAATGAAGAATGGGAGCTACAGGTGGTGCCAGAAGAAATTTTGGACACAAGGGTTGATGCAGATGGTAATTGGGAAGTGTTGGTTCATTGGAGCAATCTGCCACAATTTGAAGATTCATGGGAGTCAATGAAAATGATCAAAGAACAATTTCCAGAGTTTCACCTTGAGGACAAGGTGAATTTCCAGGGGGGAGTATTGTTAGACATGCAGCAAGGCAGCCGGTGGAATTTTATAATAAAGTGTATAAAAGAAGAGCTAATAGGGATGCTGCTAATAACTAATAACTAACGGGTTAGTTAGTTAGTTATTGTCCCTGCGTGGACATTACTATAAATAGAAGGGCTCAGCTAGCTGAAGGTAGTTTTAGACTCTTGGCTAGAACAGGACTGGGAGATTAGGCATCTCGAATTGTCTACAGCTTGTATACTTTGATCTGGTGAATAAAGTGTGTGTACTGTGTGTTGTTTCTTGAGAATTTTGTATTCGATATTGCATGATCTATCATGTTACAGGGTTAGTCATTTTTTTCGTCGGTTCGTCATTGTCATTTTTTTAATCGTGTCAAGATACAGGGTTCCATCCTAAAAGTTAAACGTGATAGGAGGAGTAGCTCATGTCCTAATATAGCATTTTGTTGATTCAAACTTTTCCGGTGTGTAATTGTAACACATTGGTTATGCACAAACAGACACACTACAATTTCCATGGTCCCCCTAAATACACCCCGCTCAGCATGTATATTAAATGAGTCTAAGTATCCATCATGTTTTGTTATTTATGCTGAAATCTTGGTTAATTGTCAAATTCCTAGTTATGGAGTGTGCATGTGTGTGTGTATACTAACTTGCAAAATCTTCACTTTTACTTCGTTACACTGCATTTCTGTTCAAATACTTCACATTTTCGCAATGGTGAAAACTTTTACTTATTTACGAGATTGCCAGTTTGCCACTGAATTTTTAACCAAACAAACAACATCCAAGCCTTATTCTGTAAAGATTCTGAGGTCGGCTATCATGAATATCAATGCCAACACGAGAAGAAGACGAAAATAAAGAAAAGTAGATAAAATGGTAAAGAAAAAAATAGCATAAGAACATAGAAAGATGAAGATAAGATAAAATGGTTAAGAAAAATAAAGAGAATAAGAAAAAAAAAATAGGTAAGATAAAAATATAAAATAGAGAAGATAAAGACAAAGATATGATAAAAATAACATAAGAACTTAGAAAGATTAAAAAGTCAAAAGCCAAATGAGAGAGAAAATAGAGAGAAGAATTCAATCGTCCACATGAATTACGAATATGCGCCCTCAAATTTGTCTCCAAAGTCATACTCTTATCCAACACATGAAGAAGCATATCAGTTATGATTCCTCTAATTCAAGTTTGTTTTGGTCTTCCCCACCCTCTCCTCCTTGCTGCTTCTTCCCACCTCTCAACTCGTCTAAGAAGTACATCACCCGGTCTTATGCGCACATGACCAAACCACTGCAATCGGGACTCCTGCATCCTATTTTCTATAGATGTTGCTTCCACCTTTTGTCTGATTATCTCATTACTCAAGCGGCCTTTTCTGGTACTTTCACACATCCGATGCAATATAGACATTTCTGCCACACTCATTTTTTGAATATGACATTGTTTCACCACATAATATTCTACTCCATACATTAATACAGACCTAATTGATTTCCGATAAAATTTACTCTTCTGTTTAGTCGGCATAGCTCAATCATATAAAAATCTTGATGCACTCTTCCATTTTATCCACCCTGCTCTGATTCTGTAGGATACATCTTCATCTAATTCACCTTCTTGATGTCTTGCACTTTTTGCATTTTAGAGCCATCACGTTTCAAACCGAATGCTAGAAAATAATTCTCATTTCTCACATTAAAGTCATTTTTTATTTGATCCAAACTCTATACATAAGATCTATTTCCTAAGTTGGATATTTGTAATGTACTAGATATATGGGACCATGTCTCTTTTATTTTGATTTTGCCGACCCTGGATCTCATTAGGATGTAGATGTACTCATGTACCAAGAAAGCAATATAAGTAAGCATGTGACTTTTTTATGTGATCATGCTTTTGAAGTCAAATGTTTTATATGGGTCTATCCATTCAATGAATGCAGGGACGGAGCCAGGATATCATATAGGGGGGGGGGGGGGGGGGGAAGGGTGTAAAAAATGCCTTTTTCTCTAAAAAAATGCCATTTTTCTCTGTAAAAATGGCATTTTCTCTAAAAAAAAATGTCATTTTTACACCACCTCCGACCGGTGTAAAAAATATCTTTTTCTCTAATAGTCCAAAACAAAAGGTTTGGGAGGGGCAAAAAAAATAATAACTAATACTACTAGGTAAAAAAAAAGTTGGGGGGGGGGCAATGGCCCCCCTAGGTGAGAGCATAGGTCCGTCCCTGAATGAATGTAAGTCTGTCTTTGATCTTGATGTGTCAAGAGGGGGTGGAATGGGCCAGAGGTAACAAAGCACTGAGTTACTAGAAAAATGGTGCTCTGCCGAAGTGCACACATTCAGTAATAGCTGTGTTCAGTTTTGTGTAGTATCCCACATTGATTGTGTTCTGGGTTTGAATAATTGTACGTAGTCTGGTTGATAAGTGTGATAGTTTGATGTAAACATTGCTCCCTGAGGATCCTTCTGGGGGATAGTTAGATCTAATTTAGCAAGTTGTTTTCTCGTTATAGGAAGTCCACAATTTTGGTGCACCTATGTGTGCAACCGTGCATTAACCTTTCCACCCAAAAGATGTGATTAGATACCTGAAGCCAAATTTGTTGCCCAATTGCAGTCATCCTACAGGTGGCCATCTAGGCATTAGACAGCACCTTGCCTCCACTACTTTTTCCGTAACAAGATGAGGGAAGCCATCCAAAGCGTAGCTCGGAGGTCCATGACGTCATTTTGTTCATATAATATTTTATCTTGCATAACAATGTCAGTGTGGATACATCATTGACATGTTATTTGATGTTTGATCTTATGTTAATTGGACTAGAATAAAAACTTCAACACATTCATATTTGCTACATGAAATGTATAAAATAATATTAGATACTTGGGTGTATATTTTGCTGGATACTGAACATTTAGCATGTGTTCATTTAGATTGGAATTTGTTAGTATGTTTGTGAACCGGTTTATTAAGTATGGTCTGATCAGTTCAAGCTTAGTCTGGTTTGTGTGTTTCATATGTTTGATAGTATGTGTGTTCTTTGTTTTACTACGTATTTAATTCTGGTCTGGTTTGATTTAACCTGCTCTGTTTAAACTAGTGAACAAATCCTTAACATTGCACCTCAAAGATGTATATCTATAAACAGATGCTTTTTTCTCTGGATTAGGTGACTATATGCCTGCAATGTGGCGACCAGGGATTCAATAATGCTTTTGTCTTCTGTGTCAAGTGTCTGGAGTTTGCTGTGCATCGGTAAGCTTCCATTGGTGATACACTCTACTGCTAGATTTGCAAAACTTTACTTGAACTTATCTATTCATCAAATCAACTCTTCCCTCGCTTTTTTCACTCCAACTAAAAAGGCATTTTGTTGACCTGCAACTGTAGAGTATCTGATTTGTGAGTTATCAGATCACTTTCCGATGAAATTATCAAGATATTTGTCTGCTTAAGACTTGAATTCTTTGTCATTGTTCTCTTCCTAACCTATTAGGTACTGCCTAGATACCATTCCAGAAACTTTTGATGAATTTGTGAGATGGGTTTGTGACGAGTGTAAGGTGAAAGATCCAAACAAACTCCTTGTCCAAAACCCTGAAGGCAACCATAATGTTTCTAAAAAAGTAAGAAAAGTCACCAGTCTGAATCGCTATAAATTTATTTATAATAATGTCGCTTATGGAGAGAACAGAATGTACGATTTCTTTCACATGTCAGGCTAAGGAGAATAGAGATGAGAGTTTTATGATCTCCCAGCAGATGCGTGAGGAATGTGCTAAGATTGACTTAGCAAAAGCATCTAAGCTTGCAGGTGATAGTTCAGTTGGGGAAGTGCATGAGGGAGTAAGTAGCTCATTGGGGTCTTTTTGGAACTCGGAAAATTCTAGGGTAATATAATGGGAAATGGAAAAAATCAAAGGAAATAAAATAAAAAACAGGCTTAGATAAAAAAACAGATTTATGTTCAAACTCATTTTATTTATTCTATTTTCATTATATAATTATTATAAATTATTTAATTATCTTCCAGTTTCCTTGATACGTTTTAAAGTACAGCCGGCATTAAAAACATCTTTCCTGTTCATTTTTCCTATCTTTATTATTTACTGGGATAGTGGGATCCAAACATACTCCTTTATCAAACTCACTAAGCACAAGCAACAAATGAATTGCACCGATGAACACACCTCTAACCCAAAGTGGTTGAATTTGAAGGAGAAACATCATACAACTTCCATGTTAGTCGGGGAAGATGGACGAAGCAATGGATCCTGTGTTGAGTACTTTGATAGAAGTACACAGGATCATCAACCATCTGGAGGGCGTCCCGTTAGTGAAATTATTTGGGAGTAAGTAAATTTTCTTCTTCTTCTTGGGAAAACGTAGATTGCTGTGAGTATTGAACATTCTTACCGTTTTCCAATGTTGATCACAGGGGATGTTTCAAAATATGCAACAAAGATTATGAGATCTTTGACGGACTTGTAGCTCATTTATCAGTTAAAGCATCTGAGAAGGTTTACAAGGAAGCAACTTTATTTCCACCCATGCTTAAACTAGAAATGCTCCCCAAAGCTGCTGTTTGGCCTAACAGCTTCCGTACTTCAGGGCCAACAGATCAAAACATCGCATTGTATTTCTTCCCGGCTAACGCAAAGTAATAGTTTTGATATCCTTTTCATTTTTACCTTTAATTTTTTTCATGAAGTTTGAAAAAAATCCTAACCCATGGTGAATTGTCTTTTTAATGCCTTGATACAGATGCGAATGGAGTTTTGATTATTTAGTGGAGATACTAATGCAAGAGGAGCTGGCAATGAAAACCACATTGACGAATGCTGAGCTTTTGGTATTTACTTCCCAAGAACTGCCACTGCAATACTGGAGTGAGTTGAGACATGCCTGATGTGTGTGATTTGCATTAGAAATTTGACTGTGTTTTAAACAGTGGTAACGTTTTGCAGGATTCCAAGGGAAGTATTATCTGTGGGGAGTATTCAGAGGAACGCCATCAAGGAATAGTGATATTCCTCCTTCAAAGAGGCGCAGATAACATCAACACTATCCATCATTGAAATGCAGTGTAGACTGATTTATCTAAACAATGTATTTACTCCGTATTTACTTTTTCTCGATTGTTTAAAATTAATATGTAAAAGGATTTACTTATGTTGTGAAGGTTAGGGCTTCTAGGGCGAGGAATGCAGTGTAGACTGATTTATCAAAGAATGTAGTTAAATGATCGAGAGTGACAGTAATAATACCTTTTGGGTAGTTATAATCATCCTACGTAGATGTTACTCCGTATACTCGAACAACATCCGCTTCACTCCTTTTTGCTTCTTTTGAGTAGTATCTTCTCTTGCTTTATCCTCTACAAGAACAACCCCTGCTGCACTCCTCTTCTTTGCTTCTTCCAAGTAACATCTTCTGTTTGTTAATTATTCATCATTAATAGCATTGAATGTTTTACTCATGACACTATGGAAGTATGGAGCATACTTCTAACTTCTAAGTTTTTTTTTGCCAATTTAACATTATACGTTTTTCATCTCTAAATAATGAAGCATACTTCTATCTTCAAAGTTTCGTATATCTTGATACTCCCTCCATCCCATTGAACTTTGCCAAATTTTCTTTTTCTGTTGCCCCAAAAACGTTGCCACTTTCCTATTAAAGCAACTAATTTGTGGTTCTGCACATTTCTTTTTGCACAAATATCAACCACACAGTTTTTACTATTCTTATTTCTCATCTACTTTGCACTTGGCAAAGTCCACTGGGACGAATGTACTACTTTACTTGCTCTCAAGCTCAAATGAATCACACTTGTAGATGGGCATTGCTTGATAAGGAAATCTATGGAATAGGGGTGGATTTAAGTAGGGATGGATTCGGTTCGGGCCACCCGGCCCGTGACCCGGCCCGGCCCGGTACTGTGCGGGCCCGGGACCGGCCCGGTACTGTGCGGGCCCGGGACCGGCCCGGTCGGGCGGTCCGGGACCGGGTATGGGCCCGAACCGGTGGGAAGGGGTGGGGTGGGCTCGGTTCAGCATTATTGTGACCCGGCCTGGCCGGGTCGGGCCCGAGCCCGGGTCCGGTTCAATTTTAAAAAAAAAAAAAATTGGTTTGGGCTCCTACTAGCCGTTGGAGGTGGGGCTGGGGACAACCCAAACGGCTATATAGCCGTTGGGTGGGGTAAAGGGGGGGTTCGGGGGGGTTGGGTGGTGGGGGGTGGGGGGGGGTGGGGGGTAAAAAAAACCTATAAATACTCCTAATCTTAAACATTTTTTCATATCTCTTCTCCAATTCTTCCTAAATCCTATTCTTATCTCTCTACTCTCTAATTCTCTTATTCTCCAATATATTATATATCTACTCTCATATTCTCTTCTCCAAGAAGTTAAGATGGAAAATCAAAATGCCATTATACGGTATAATTTTGATAAGCAGAAGGACCCGAAGACCGGGATGTGGTACGCAATTTGCAAATGGTGCGAAAAAAAATGTATCATGGGGGCTTCAGGCGGATTCGGGATGGCAATCAAGCATATAAAGTCATGTGACAAAGCCAAATGATCGGGAGGTGCAGGAAGTTCCGATTGATTACAATTTTCAAAATGTTTATCTCTTAAAGTTTGTTTTAATTTTCAAATGTAGTTCCTATTTCATTTCAAATAAATGCAATTGAAGTTTGTTTTTAATACTCGTATAAAACTATAAACTATAAAATATAAATTATATATAAAAAAAATTAACCGGCCCGGCCCGAACCGGACCCGACCCGTGACCCGGGCGGGTGGCCCGGCCCGAACCGGACCCGTCCAACCCGCGGGCCGGTCCCGGGCCCACTTTTCTTGAACCGGCGGCCCGACCGGGCCCGACTCGGCCCGAATCCATCCCTAGATTTAGGGATGGACCCGGGCTGGTCCGGTTCCGGGCCAGGCCCGGGCGGGCGGCCTTTTTTCCCAGGTACTTGGGCCCGGAACCGGCCCGGGTTGATACCGGGTCTGGGCCTAACCGGGTCGGACCCGGTTAAATGTTTGATTTTTTTGGCTTTCTTGTTATCCCCTGACCCACCCCCTCACCCCACCCCCCAAACCTCCCCAAATCACCCAGCCCTACCCTAGGAAAAGAAAAAAAATTGAAAAAAAATCCCAGGCCCGAACCGCCCGGGCCCGGCCTGAACCGCACGGTCCCGGCCCGAACCGCCCAGGCTGGTTCAACAAAAATTGGGCCCGAGCCTGGCCCGCTCAAGCCGCCAAAACGGGCTAAAAACCTGGAACCGGCCAACCGGGCTCGGGCCGGTCCGGGACCACACATTAGCGGGGCGGTCCGGTTCCGTGCCGGTTCGGCCCAGCCCGGTCCATCCCTAGGTGGACTCGGGCCAGGTGGCCCGACTCGGAACCGGCCCGGGACCAACACTGTTCCGGCCCATCCCGAACCGGTGGCCCGGTCAGTGACCGGTCCGGGTAAGCTTGACCCGAGGGGTTTTCGGTCCAGGCTTGGGTCACCCAAAACAAGGCCCGACCCAGGTTCGGGCCAAATAGATTTTTTTTGGTTTTTTTTCATTTGTTTGGGCTCCACCCGGGTTGGGCTTGATGTTTAGGAGGGGTTTGGGGGGTGAGGGTGAGGGGGGGGGGGGTCAGGGATAGGTAGGTAAGCAAAAAAAAATTAACCAAGCCCGAGGCTCGGCCGGGATCCGGACCGGACCCGGTGGCTACCCGGGCCGGTCCCAGGTCCACCTATTCAGACCCGCCTGCCCGCCCGGGCCTAGGGATGGATTCGGGCCGGGTCGGGCCCGGGCCGGGCCTAGGCCCGGTCGGGCCACCGGTTCAAGAATAGTGGGCCCGGGACCGGCCCGAGGGTTGGACGGGTCCGGTCCGGTCCGGGCCGGGCCGGTTAAATATATTTTTTTAATTTATATTTTATACTTTATAGTTTTATACAAGTATTAAAAAACAAACTTCAAGTGCATTTATTTCAAATGAAATAGGAACTACATTTGAAAATTAAATAGGAACTATAATTGTTTTTAATCGGAATCTCCGGCATAGGTAGAGCCACCCTCTGTTGTGGATTCATCCATAAAGTGTTGGGATGGAGTGATGTCAATTTCTTGAGCTCTACGTGCTGCTTTCAACCAATCGTGGTAGCATATAAGCATCTCAAGAGATTCAGCGCTCAACCTCGTTCTGGTTTGTGTTAGAACATTGCCGCCCGAACTAAATTCTTGTTCCACGGCAACCGTTGAAACCGATATTGATAGCACTTGCTTAGCCATCTTTGCTAAAACCGGGAACATTCTTTCTTTTTCCTTCCACCAGTTTAGTACGTCAAAATCATCATCTTCTTCAAAATCAACATCATAAGTTAAATACAAAGAAATCTCATTAATTGTGCTTTGTTGTGTAGCGGGAGTTGATTTTGTTTTTTTAATAAGATTGGCAAACGTAGATTTGAAAATTGATTTTCCTTTAGATGATGTTTGTGTCGGGGGAGGGGGCGCATTGCCATATTGTGCATGAAACTCATTGAATAATGCATAAAATATATCACTAACCTCGTTGTATTCTTTTTTCGGATCAATTGGGTTGTCCTCATACATTGGCAATGGACCAAAAAAAGCAGCATAATGATAATTCAAACATTCTTCTAAAGAACCAAGTCTAAAACGAGGATCGAGAACAAATGCAATACCATAAATATGCGGAATATGTGAATAATATTTTAAAAACTTTTCCTTCATAAAACCAGCAAAATAACTCACATAATCAGCATTCTCAAAATTTGAAAAAGCACCGGCGAGATTAACAGTTTCACGAATAAATTGGTTTGAGATAGGTTTATAAACATGACTAAAAGTTTCAGTTGCATTATTAAAATATATCAAAGCATTACAAATTTTTTCACAGGTGTCGATCTCAGCCGAGTTTATAATATAGTTATCATATTGTTTCATAAAAGCAGGAAAATGTTGTTTATATCTAAGAAGAACTCCAATTAACTTATAGGTACTATTCCAACGAATAGACAAATCTTTTGGAAAAGCCACATATCTCTCACCTCTTTCTATCAAATAATCATGTCATTTTTTCCTAAGGTGTCCATTACCCCAAATACGTCTAATCCCCCCCTTGACTACCTCCAACGATGCTCCCAACGCTTTTAGACCATCTTGCACACATAAATTTAGAACATGACATGCACATCGTTGATGAAAAATCTACCCATCAAAGAAGTAGTACCACACAATTCACGCAATCTAGGAATAGCAGCAGTATTATTAGTAGCATTATCAAAACCAATAACAAACACCTTATCAATTAAATTATACTCAATTAAAATACGTTCAATCAAAATATAAATATGTTCAGCGGTGTGACGATCATTAAATTCACGGAAAGCAAGAACACGTTTATGCATATGCCAATCATTATCAATATAATGTACAGTCAGACCCAAATAATGTAAATTATGATAAGTATCCTCCCATATGTCAGAACATACAGTAACACGTCCATCAAAGTTTGCAAAATAATTTTGTAACCTTACCTTTTCCGCACCATAAAGCCTTGAAATTTCTTTCTTAACCGTTTTGCGACTATAACCTCTATATTGCGGATTTAAACAAGTTTGTGCATAATCACGAAAAGCAAGACTTTCAGAAAACAAATAAGGCAAATTTTCTTCAACAAGTAAGTTAGCCATACCTGTCAAATTTTGTGCATCATTGTATGAGAAATTACCAAAAGCTTGTTGGTTATTTGCAAACCTCGATATTTGCGTTTGCTTCCCCGTTCCGCCGCCTAATTTTGCATACTCCACCGGATGTTTGGACTTAAGGTGTCTTGTGGTGGATCCGTATCCGCCGGAAATCCCCAAGCTATAGTTTTTCTTGCACCAATTGCAAGTTGCAGTCCAATTCCCGGTGTTCGGGTCCTTCCACTTAGAAAAATTATTAGCCATTAATTCAGATTTACTTTTTTTTGTACCTGTTTGGGATGAGGCTGCTTGGTCGGCGTCATGGCTGCCGCCTCCCTCCTCCTCCTCCTCGTCGTGGCTCTCTGGAATTGCTTCCTCCACATCATCGTCCTCGTCCTCGAGCTCTTCTTCGTCAATGGTCCTCGGTTGGTCTTGAAAAAAGCGGGAATTATGTCGGTGCAATTCTTGTTCTAGTTGTTCGTCGGTCACCGCATCCCCATCCCTCCTTACGTAACCCGTATCAAAATCATCTTGACTTTGAGATGAAGAGCCGATATGTGATTTACCTTTGCGGGATCTCTTCCTCGCAAGCTCTTTCGTTCGGTTGCGCTCGAGGTTACCCATATCAACCGAATATCTAGGACGATCAATCTAAAAAATGTAGCGATTAA